ACTGATTGAATTTATTGTTTTGTAAATTAATTGTTCATCAGTTAAGAACACTGTCTGCTCTTACAGAGGAATTGAATTCAGTGCCCAGCCCCAGGTAGGATGGCTCATAACCACCTGTTACTTCAGCTTCAGGGGATCTGATACACTCTTCTGGGCCTCCTTGAGCACACGTGCATGCACACACACGCGCACACACACACACACACACACACACACACACAAGACATGGAGTCTTTCTTTACTAGGCTTGTTGTCCAGGCACCCAGCTCCATCCATCCTAACTCCTCCCAGTTACCTGCTTGGCCTTGAAGTGTTTCTAACCTGAGTCTTTTCATCCATTCAGTGTTTTCAAGTATACAAGCCTTTTAAATATCTTCACCTCAGAAGATAGATATGTTTTATTATGTGCTGATATTTTAACCATCATGTCTGGTGGTTCCCACTTTGACCTTTGTTTTGCTTTGTTTAGTAACAAAATGCACTGGACGGTTCCTGTGAAGCTTCCTTTCCAGCCTGAGCTGCACAGCACCTGGCCTTGACTGCACAGCTTCCCCTCACATTCTCATCCTTGGGACTATTTTTCGCTTGTCCCCCTGGATGCTTTCATTTCAACAGTGGTGGCAGTCCATTCTCTACCTCTGTGGACCAGGTCACTTACATTCAATTAGATATGGGGTCAGAGACAAAGACTTTGAGGGCACAGGGTCTTACAGGAAAAGTTTCTCGTGTTTCGTGTGTGTGTGTGTATGCGTGCGTGTGCTTAGGTATATGTGCATGCGCATATGTATTCCACAGCATGTCTGTGGAGGTCTTTCCGCCTACCATGTGTGAGTTCCAGGGATTAGAGAGGTTGTTAGGCTAGGCAGAAAGTGTCTTTACACACTGAGCCCTCGCACCAACCAGCTCAATAATATTTTCTTATTAAGAATAAACCAGGGACCTGGCAATGATGAAGCAGACAGAATGGCCACAGAGAAGACTCATTTGTTCTTTAACCCTGTGGATTTTATCACATACTCTTAAATTTTATGTAATAAATTTTTTTAAAGAAATCATTTAATCTGTCATCTGAAAAGCCCTCTTGGTGCTGGACGGTGGTGGTGCATGCCTTGAATCCCAGCACCCAGGAGGCAGAGACAGGCTGATCCCTGTGAGTTCTAGGCCAGTCTGATCCACAAAGCAAGTTCCAGGACAGGCACTAAAGTTACACAGAGAAACCCAGTCTCGAAACCACCCCCACTCCAAAAATCCCTCTTGGCATCTTTTGTGTATCTTTTTAGCTAAAGACTCACATCTCTTTTCATGATTGGAGCTTGTTTTGTTTCAGAAGGGTACTGTGGTTCACAGCCAGGGCAGAATTTAGGAAGTAGTCACCAAAGATGACTTAAGACTAGGAGATCTTTCTTTGCAAATATTCTTTCTTTTGGTACCTGAAGTCAACTGCCAGAGTTTAAATGGGATAGTAGTAGTAATAATCAAGCAAGCAAGCAAGCAAGCAAGCAATCATTACCTCAATCTCATAGAAAATTTTCCAGAGTGGACATTGGATTCAGCTTTAAAATTCTCCTTTGATCCATTAAACTCTCTTGGCATTAGAAAAGTACTACATTCATGAATTCTGAGGAAGGGTAGGGCAAGTATAAACCATTAAAGCTATGGATTTTAGGCAAAAGGCAAGTGCAAGATTTGCAGGAGTGGGTAGCACCCTCTGGTGGACAGTTTCGGAGCCAGCATGCTCTCTGGGAGTATTGGCACAAACTGGAGAAACAGAACCCTCTTCCAAAATTCTTGGCCAGCAGTATTTTTCTGTGGTTTTCTGGTGGCAGCGAGCAAGAAGTCACATTCTAGCGGGTACAGGATAAAGACGCAATCGGGGTGGGTTGTGTGAACTATTATTTTTCTGCTTAGGAATGACAGAAGAGTGGGGACATTAGAAGAATCCCTTTCTTACAGTGGTGACACGTGAGTTAAGCAGCACCAAATGGCGGGCATGAGGAAAACTGCTGCTAACACTGGGGGAATTTCCTCCTTAAGTGGGTGGGGCTCAGGAACAATAAGGGAAAATACATATTAACTGTTTTTTACTTTTTTAGTCAAGATTGTAACATGTAGCCCAGGCTGGCTCCACTATCTGAATCCTCTGTTTCTATATCTTGAATGCTAGGATTACAGACATGCACACTACATACAATTCTTACAATTTGCCTCTTACTAAAAAGTAGTCATATACTGAGAAGGTCAAAGGGAGATTACATTCATACAAGTCTGGCTCAATTAAAGGATGGTGCTAACTATGAAACTGATGTCATTCCTACACTATAAGCCACATCCCTCCCATCATTCAGCCACTGCGTTATCACCAGTCTACCTGCAGTGACGTACATACTATAAATACGACCAAAAGGAGATTCAAGAGTAATGTTCAAATTAGATTTTTACAATATAGTTTTAAAAAAAAGTCAGGCATGGTGGCTCATGCCTTAACCCTAATACTAAGGAGGCAGAGGCAGTAAGATTGTCAAAAGTTTAAGGTCAGCTTGGTCTACATAGTAGCTCTAGGTTAGCTAGGGCTACAGAGTGAGAACTGTCTCAAAAATGAAACAAAACAGAACCCTAAACCAAAACATGAAGCACACTCAAACAATGAAAATATATGTACATCAAAATTTTTTTTCTCCACTTTGAGTTTTTTGTTTTGTTTTGTTTTATGAGATAGAGTTTCTCTGTGTAGCCCTGGCTGTTCTGGAACTCAGAGAGATCTGCCTCCTCTGCTTCCTGAGTGCTAGGATTAAAGGTATGCAACACCTGGCTGCACTTTGAAATTTTGTTTCATTCTGAGACTTCCTGCAGTGTGTGTGTGTGAATTAGCTGTGTGTCTTAGTCACTGTTCTAATGCTGTGAAGAGACACCACGACCAAGGCAACTCATTTTTAAAAAGGCATTTAATTGGGGCCTGGCTTACAGTTTCAGAGGTTTAGTTCCTTCCTATCACAGCAGCAGGCATGGCGGGCATGGTGCTGGAGAATTTGAGTGCTACATCCTGATCCACAGGCTGAAAGGAAGAGAAAGGAGGAAATACCTGGCCGAGCGTGGGCTTTTGAAAACTTCCAAGTCCACTTCCAGTGACAGACTTCTTCCAACAAGACCGCCTCTTAATCCTTCTAATCTTAACAAAGAATCCCATTCCCCCAGCAACTAAGCGTTCAAAGATATGAACCTATGGGGGCCATTCTTACTCCAACCACCATTGTGAGCGTACTTCAAATCTGAAAACATGACTATTAATAGACACTTCCCACCTTGGGAAAAATTCTTGTATTTGGCTCTTTTGGAATTGATTTGAAATAAAATAATTGAAGTTTATAGAGAGCTAAAATCCACGTTGATACTAAAAGTTTTAATTGCATTCCCTCTGAGTATTTAACACTGTCTATCAAATCTTAACAGAGTACAGACCAATCCCTAATTGCTAGATTCCAAATATAGTTGCTAACAAGTTGTCAGTCATAACTGTTGCTATAGAGTCAGTCACATGGGATATACTTGTCACGGTTAATCTTCACCATCAACTTGACAGGATTTAGGTTCACCATGGAAACACACCTCTGACTGAGTGTGTGAGGTTGTTTTCCAGAAGGGTTTAACTGAGGTGAGAATATGGACAGTGCCATCGTATGCAGTGGGCCATTGGCTCAAATAAAGAGAAAACAAATTTGGCAACACATTTATTTCTCTATGCTGATTGCAGATACAGAGTGGTCAGCGCTTTTTCACCAAGTCTCCCCGACGGTGCCGGCTGTATGCCCTAGACAAACCCTTGCTCTCACGTTGCTGCCTGCAGGTATTTGGCCACAACAACAAATAAATTAATACATTTAGAAATTGTTATCTGAATTTCAAATTTAATGGAGCATCTGCTCCCCCAATCCCGTCTCCCCTCCCCTTGGAGGCATTTGCAAGATCTTGAGCTGTTTTTTGATTGTCACAGTTAAGGTAGGTGGTGCTATGGACACCTATTGTGGACAGCACAGAGATACTGCTAAATATTTTACATCCTTCAGGCAAGTAATTATTTTTTCCCAAGATATAAATAAGCTGAGAAACAGGAAACTAAAAGGCCATCGACTTTCAGGGTTCCTGGGAGACAGGCAGCACACGGAATTGTCTAAGTTCATCTTCAGTTTGGGGAAGGGAGGGCGGCGTCCAGGCCTGGAGACCGGATGCCAGAGCCCGGAATTCCTACTACCGCGGATGGAGTTCCGAGGCCAAGGAGGTGGTGTGTGGCTATTCCTGCGTGTGGGCTGTATCGCACGGGGCGGCTAGGCGTGCCTCTGACAGACAGACTTCTGCCACCACCTCAGAACAGACCGAGCTTCTGGCAGCCAAGGCTCCGCAACCCACCGGAAGAGGCCCGAAGCGGCTAAGGCGTCCTTCTCACCTAGCAACGCCCGGGGAAAGGAAGTGGCTGCGGCGCCACGCCCCCTGCGCCTGCGCACAAGCGCGGCCTGCTGACGTGGACCGGGCCGCTGGGCCGAGCCCAGCGCTGAGGAGAGCAGCGGCCGCTGCGGTGGGAGAGTGGCAGCCT